TCCCAATTCAATAAAAGACATGGTCACTTGCTCAGTTTGGTTACTGCCGGTTTGGATGAGGGTATGATCAGCGTCTTGTTCCAGTTCTTTGATCCTAAACACCATTGTTTCATGTTCCACAATTATTAGTTGGTGCCCACGTTGGAAGAATTCTATAAATTACTTGGAGTTCCTATATTGGAGCAGATACCCTTCACAGGTTTAGAACAGGATCCAATGTCTTAATATGTTGCCACAGCCTTGCACTTGAAGCCATCTGACATTGAATCTAAGTGGGAAAGGAGAAGTGGGGTTAAAGGTCTTCTTGTAAAGTTTATGATAGAGAAAGCTCTGATATTCCTAGACGCCATGAGTTTCCATGCTTTTGAGGATATCTTGGCCCTCCTGATCTATGGGTTGGTACTGTTCTCTAATCCGGACTAACTTATAGATGTGAGTGCCATCAAGATCTTCCTTACTCGCAATCCAGTGCCTACATTGCTTGGGGATATTCTGCATTCCCTCCATACCCGTACTATGAAGAAGCGAGGAACTCTTATGTGTTGTATACCTTTTCTCTACAGGTAGTTTACTTTGCACCTTCCTCGATCGATAGTGAAGAATGAGCTAGGCTTAAGATGGCCTCAAAGGTTGATGTCTCTCTCTCACTCTGATATATATTGGTGTTCTCGCTCTCAAGAAGACGTCTCTATTATTGATCGTTGCAGAGAGTTTCCTAATGTGCCACTCCTTGGCATTAGAGGAGGCATCACTTACAACCCTTCTTTAGCCTTACGTCAGTTTGATTAAGCACGAAGAGATGGTCCTCGTGATATGCTCATCCAGGGTGTTGTGTTCAACTACAACAATGATTGGCAAGATTATCGTCAGAGATTCATACGCGCTTGGTGCATGGTTAAGAAGACTGATGGTAAGACTTTAGCACACATGAATTCCATTCCTTTGAAACCTTACCTCAAATGGATGCAAGCTCGTGCTCATAGTATTATGATGCCATATCCCGCCATCTTGCCAGTAATCTTAGAGCCTATTGCTAGAGGGGACGAGTCTTGCATTATTCTTCACCCTGACATGCCAACAAACTTTGAAGAGCTGCAAAGGTCTTGGATCCAACTCAAGGAAGAAAGAGACACCTTTGAGACCCAATTTTATGTTAGTGAGAGGAAAGTGTTGGAACTGACGAAGCAGCTTCACGAGGAGCAGAGTCTTAATGCCTATATCAGCACAAAAAGGAAGCGTTCATGGGAAACCTAGAAGTTTTAGAAGTTTTTAATTCTATTTCTTTGTAAACTTTTGTTTCATTTGAACTTACTAATAAAAAGTCTTTTTTTCTATTTTGATTAAAAGAGTTTAAATCCCACGAGGTCCCTGAAAACATCGCATAAACATGTCATGCATATCATTACATAAGCAGGTATTTCAAGACAGTTTTCTTATCTTTTCACTGTTTATTTTAGCAAAAAGAAATGGATCTTGAACAAAACGTTAAAGAACTTCAAGCACATAACGCTCAATTCCAACAGATATTCCTGGCTCTGGCCAAAGGACAGGAAGAACTGAAAGCTCTCATTGTTAAAGAGAATACGAAGAAGGCAAAGAAACAGATTGGTATCCTGAACATGGGGAGAAGATTCAGAGGACCATCCAAGAGAGCTCTAGAATTCACAACCCCATCAAATGAAGGGGATAATAAAGAAGAGCATAACAAGAAGATGAAAGAAGAAGATAACAGCTCGGGGTCTAATGAAGAGGAAGCAGACTATTCTGAGGAACAATATCCTCCTGCTGATGACAAGTATAAACAGTTGGAGAATCGACTCAATGCTATGGAGATTCAGAGGGTACCTGTTTTAGACTTTGAAGAACTAGGGTTGGACTCAGGAGTGGTTGTCCCACATAAGTTCAAGGTTCCCACCTTTTCAAAGTATGACGGTGTTTCATGTCCCAAGCTTCATCTGAGGTCTTACGTCAGGAAAATCCAACCCCATACTGCTGATAGGAAGTTATGGGTTCACTTCTTTCAGGAGAGTTTGTCAGGGACGCAGTTAGAGTGGTTCTATCAACTGGAAGGAACCAATATTCGTAATTGGGAAGACTTGTCTATCGCTTTTTACAAGCAGTATCAATATAATACTGACCTCGCTCCAACCCGCACGCAACTCCAAAGCATGTCTATGGGTTCCAGTGAGGGTTTCAAAGATTATGCCCAAAAGGGGAGGGATCTTGTAGGTAGAGTCCAACCTCCCCTGTCTGATAGGGAGTTGGTAGATATGTTCATGGGTACTCTGCAGGCCCATTTTTCAACCATTTGATTGGAAGCTCTTCAAACGGGTTCACCGAGCTGATATTGACAGGAGAGCGAGTGGAGGCTGGTATTAAGAGTGGTAAAATCCAAGGGGCTACGTATTCAAGTACTGAAAAGAAGCCTTTCAGTGGAAAGAGGGAGGTCAGTGCTGCATATGGTCAAAGAAAACATGGTAAAGTTTAATGCCATCCAACGGTAGGAGATGTAATGATCTCTAACCCTACACAACCTCAACAACAAAATAATCAGCGCAAGCAGGATGCGCTGAGAAGATAATTCACAAGAATCAACATGCCGTTGTCTCAGGCATTGCAACATTTGGTGAAAGCTGACTTGGTCACTTTGAGGGATCCTTCTCAAAACCCAAACACTTCCTCTCCCCATTACAATCCAAATGCTCGGTGTACTTACCACTTCAACAGTCTGGGGCATGATACGAATGATTGTTGGGCTCTGAAGAATAAAGTTTAAGACCTTATTGATGCAAAGGAGATTGAATTTGACCCTCCTAAGACTCCCAATGTAATAATGCACTAATTCCCAAGCATGATAAGGGTATCAATGATGTTGATGATGTTCGGTTTGTTTCTTCTGCGAACGAATTAACTACTCCCCTTCCAGTTGTTAAGAAGAATCTCTTATGAGCCGGTTTATTTTCAGGTTGTAATGAAGGTTACTACCATTGTGTGTCTCTACCCAATGATTGTTTGTTGTTGAAGATAGGTGTTCAACGTATGATAGACAACCGGAAAATACTCTTTGAGAAGGTACCCTCTGCAAAAATCTTGTATGAAGACGTATCAATTATTACCATTTCTAATAATCCTGCAAGGATCTCATACAAAGTTCCTTTAAGGATTACCGCCACCCCTAAAGTTGCTCCCCTAATCATCACCTCTCCGGGTCCAATACCATATTCCTCTGACAAGGCTGTTCCTTGGAATTACGGAGCTGATGTCTACTACCATGGTGTAAAGCAAGACCTGTTGGCTATCAAGAATGAATTTGCTGAAGATATTGATCCTAACATTGACAATATTGTTGGGACCAATAAGGTTACCAGGAGCAGAAGGATTTTCTCTCCGGAAATCTCTCCAAAGACTGTTGCTACTCCTCTTGTTATCCTTGTTGTTGAGTCAACTGAGGATAAGGGCAAAGAAGTATTGAGTGAGCATGCCCGGACAGAGGCACCTAAAGAAGCCATTCTTGAGGCCTCCAAGCAAGAAATGAAGTAAATTTTGAAGATCATAAGGAAAAGTGATTACAATATCATGGAACAATTAGGGCAGACCCCCTCGAAGATTTAAATTCTAGCTTTGTTGTTGTGCTCTGAGGCCCATGCTAAGGATTTGGTGAAGTTTATGAAGTCTGCTCATGTGCCACAAGAGACTTCTGCCGACCAATTTGAGAATTATGTCGCCAGTCAGACTGCTGATAATGGACTGGGATTTTCTGATGTTGATCTAACCCCTGAGGGGAGAAAACATAACAAGGCACTACATGTCTCCATTGAATGTAGGGGCACTACCCTAGCTCATGTGTTGGTTGACACCAGTTCATCTCTGAATGTCCTACCCAAAGGTGCATTAGACATATTGGATTGTGAAGGGTTTACATTGAAACCCAGTAACATTGTGGTGAGGGCTTTTGATGGTTCTAAAAGAATGGTACATGGGGAGGTGGACATCCAAATTAAAGTTGGTTCCCAAATTTTTTACTCCACTTTCTATGTGATGGACATTCAGCCGTATTACTCCTTCTTACTTGGACGCCCGGATTCATGGGGCCGATGCTATCACTTCTACTTTACATCAGATGTTGAAATATCATGTAAACGGAAAGATTATCATAGTCTGTAGTGAAAAAGAGTATATGGTAAGCCACATGAATTATTTTAGGTATGTCGAGATAGATGGCGAGTTAATTGAAACCCCCTGTTAGAATTTTGGAGAGGTTCCTTAGACGATCACTGTCACCAAATCTGCTACTGTTGTTCCAAAGATTACCAGGCCCCCACTGAAGATGGCTTCTCTGAAGGACACCAAGGCTGTAATTGAAGAAGGTAGGTGTACTATTTGGGGCCAACTCCATGACATCCCCTATAAGTCTTACAAATTTGGTTTGGGTTTCACTTTAAGAGCTCAAAAAATTGTTCGTCGTACTCGTGCTGAAGGACCACCATTGTGCATCAGCATCCATGGAGTCAATGTTGTGGAGGACACTGGCAATGATGAAAACCTGGACGATTGGATCTTCCCTACCATCAACGGTGGACCCAATAATTGGAAGGTAGGAGATGTTGTGCCTCTCTCTTTTATCCAAGAGTAATTGTTTTTCTGTTTTTGGGATATGTAATTGTTGAACAAATTAAACTCTAAGCCTTGTGTCTTATGTGGGGCATAATGGTGTAGTTGTGAGGGTTATCATGTTTCATCTTCATATGTCATTAATGAAACAGTGAACATTTTGCATTCAAATTTTACACTCTCTGTCTTTCTTTTTTACTTTATTTTGTCAAAATAGTTATGTGCTCTTACACACACCCACATATCAAATTGCAGATCTATATCTACCATGGATCCCATTGATAACAGTTCTTCTATTATCAGTTATGACTTTGAAAATCCAATCTACCAAGCTGAGGACGAAGGTGAGGAAGATTGTGAAGTACCGAGAGAACTTGCTATACTATTACAGCAAAAGGAAAGAGCAATACATCCTCATGAAGATCCGGTCGAGGCGGTAAACTTAGGTACAGAGGAGAATAAAAAGGAAGTCAAGATAGGTGCCAACTTGGAGGATGGTGTCAAAGAACAGTTAAACCAGATGTTACGTGACTATGTTGAGATCTTCGCTTGGTCATACAAAGATATGCCAGGGTTTGATACTGATAGTGTGGTTCATCGTCTGTCAACAAAAGAAGACTGCCCTCCATTGAAGCAAAAGGTTTGTCGTATACTGTGATACGGTGGGATAACTGACTTGAGGTTTTTGCATTTTATCGCAAATGTTGCGGTTAGCAAGAGTCACCACCGACTTTTCTTTTATCCAATAAGGAAAGGTGAAAAAGCACAGGAAAGACCTTTCGAGATGTTTTCTTGAGTTAGGGGGGTAGATTATGAAAAGGGAAGGTATTAGCACCCTTTCCATCCATGGTTTTCCATGGGATCTTAGTTACTTGCTAGATCACTTGCTTTTGTTTGAATGTGCTTTGTGGTGTGGTTTTTGAAAGTATTTTGAAAATGTAACTTTGTAATGATTCTCGTTTCTATAAGAATGCGTACAAAGTGTTTGTTTGGAAAATAGTTCAAAGAGGTATTTGTGAAACGTGTCTTTGAAAGTGATTTTGAAAAGGGTTTCCTTTGTAATGGCTCTCGTCTCTATAAGAACGCGTACAAAGTGTTGTCTTTGGAAAATGTTTCAAATGGGAATGTTAGTGTATAAAATGTTTTTGTTGTGAGCAAGCGAGTAACTGAGAGTGAACCTACCTACTGAAAAGGTCTTAGATGTGATTTTCCTCCTCCTTTAGATATTTCTATTTTACCATTGATTTGGTAAGAAGCCCCATCGTTGGATGTGAAGGGACGGGCGTTGGGTCATCGTATGACCATGATAGCAATGTTGTGAGACGACTTAGCACTTTTTTTTCTTTAGGGACTAAAATCATTTGATAGGAAACTTTGATAGCGTCATCGAGGGACTATGATCTTATACTTTTGTTTGTGCTAAGACGTCCCACATGCATAACATGGCCATTTTTGTAAGGCAACAAGTGAGATTACCCTAAGGGTGCATAGGTGCAAATGTGTTTGATTGCATGCATTTGTCTTTGATTAGGGATATCTACTTGTTGATTTTATCTCTTTCTATACACGCCTAATTACTATACAGTATAAGGAAAACAGTAAATTGCGGAAAATGAAATTCTACGCTATTACAATATTTAGGGGATGGGGGTACATATGTACGAATGGGGATTGCAAGTAGAAATAAGTCCTAAGTTACTATTACAACCATATTGAAATGTATAATATAAGAAAGAAATGGACTCGTTTAAAAATGTTTTTTGTCTTGAGGAAATAAATTAAAAGGAATATTTTTGTGTTTTTTTTATGTCTTTTTGTGTTAATATATATAAAAAAAGAAAATAAATGCAAGGTGGAAACAGCGTGTTGCTGTAAGCAGAACAACTAGGATCAGAAGTTCTGAAGCCAAGAGCGCTGTGACTCAGCAAGAGACATCCGTGGGATCAGAAGTTCTGGACTGGTAAACTCTGAGGTCCTGCAAGACATGTTAGAGGAAAAATACAGAAGTTCTGGATTGCTATGTGCTGAACTTCTGAATGTCAGAACAGTGAGAAAACCTTAGAAACTCTGTGCGTGTCAAAATAGTAGGAAGAATTCAAAAGTTCTGTATGGTGCTAAGATAATGAACAAACAGTCAGCAGTTCAACATGTTATCAGTGCTTGAAAATCAGAAGTTCAGTGTATTTATCATGTAAGGAGAACTCAGAAGATTTGTGTTGTGTTAAAACAGTGAGTGAATCATCAGAAGTTATTAATTGTGTTGAGCCAGTGAGTGAACATTAGCAATTTATTCAGTTCAGTAAATCAGAACAATCACATCACAACAAATCCAGAAGTTCCAATCCTAAGTCTGAGCCTAGCATTATTCTAGAAGTTCTGATCCATAGTTTTTCTATTCGTGCAATGATATGTACAACATTAATACTATGATATTTACATGTTAATGATGTTCAGAATGAAAAGCAAGTAAAGTCAGAAAGACTTACCTGGAGCGTGCTTGGAGCTTTGAGTGGCTGCCTTTGGATGTTCTGAGTCAGCAAAAGAGACGGAAGAGTGGTTGTGTCCTTTTGTTCAAAGGGAAGAACAAAGTTTTTTTTATGTCTGAGAAATCTGGATTTTTATGAAGGTTTCACAACTTCCTTTTCTCTCTTTTGGCCAATCTCTCTCTTCAAAATCCAGCCTCCAACCTTCAGCCTCTCGTCCCAAAAAAAAGCCCCCTTGGACGTATGATGGAGCCAAGTATTTATAGATGAATTTGTTGTGATTTTGGGGGGAAAACAAATAGGATTTGAACCTATTTTGGCATCCTGTTCCTTTTCTTTTTCATCATAGTTTTTTATATGCTAGTTTGGTGTAATCATGGGATGCAGGCGTAGGCTGAGCTAGCTATTGATTATAGGTCTGTAGCAAGTTTCATGAACAAGGTTTTGGGATTTGGTCAAGTTCTGACTAAAGCGTTGAAATAGCCTCCATGTGCTGAAGCGCTGCCTTGTTTTTGAAGCAAGCATGGTGGTTGTCAGCAGGAATTAAGGAAAAGCAAAAAAGCAAAGCATGGGCTTAGTATTAAAGTTGCTATCCCAAGACAGTAGAGGTACACATGGTGGAAATCCTTTGGATGAAAACTCAAAAGGTGGTTGTGAGCATTAAATGATGATGAGACTTATCACAACCAGAAATTCTGCAATGTGAAACTCTGGATCATTGCTTAGTTTTGGATCAGACGTTTTGCTTCAGCGTAGCATCCCCATCTTCTATCCTCTTATCTTCTGGCTCCAGCATGTTCTGAAGGAGCCTTCAGGCTTTGTATCACGTTTTATAACCTTCTTTGCATTACCCTGGAAAACTCTGACTGAACTTGCGTAGATGCTGAAGAGCCTTGTTCTGACTGAAGGCCATATTTTGAACCAAGTTTTCAACTTCTGACTGCACTTGCCTGGAGGTTGGCTTAGAAGTTCTGAAATGTCATTTTTTTTAAATACTTAGAAAAATCCTAAGTGTTTAGGAATTTGGCTTTTCCATAGTAAATTTGACTTTTGAATTTCTTGATGAAACAAACTTCATATTCCAACATGTTTTGATGAAATATGATTCTTGAGATTTGTTGTTGATCCAAAAGTCAAAGTTTGACTTTTCTTGTGTGCAAATTACCATTTTTCCCTTGTGAACGTTTTGCTTGGAAAATTTGTAGTTCAAGGCTTGGAAACTGGATGGAAGCAAAATCTGAGGATCTAGGGTGATTCTTTGAGAAAAGAGAGGGCAAATTTTGGGGTACAACAGCTGCCCCTGTTCAATCTTCTTACCGCTGAAGAGTTAGATTGGTAATTCTACCATTCGTGACTTAAAGGTGGAAGATGATTGGACACTAGAGTGCCCAGAAATTTGCACTCGACAGCAATAGGAGGAATGGGCTTAAAGATGCCATTTGGTAGAGGTGATAGAATCTTGTTGGAGATGGGCTTATAGATGCCATCCAAAAATGCTTGTTGAGATGTAATCTGTAAGTTGAACATTAGAATGGCGTTCGTGTCTGGAGCCTATCTGTATTGTATTAAAAGTTGATTCTGAATGAGTATCAGAATGGCTTCCGTGTTTGAAGCGTATCCGAACTGTATCTGGAGTACAATCTGAATGAGTATCAGAATGGCTTCCGTGTCTGGAGCGTATATGAACTGTATCAGGAGGTGCCTTTGAATGAGTATCAGAATGGCATCCGTATCTGGAGCATATCTGAACTGTATCTGAAAGCTGAATCTGAATGAGTATCAGAATGGCATCCGTATCCGGTGCGTATCTGCACTGTATCTGAAAGCTGAATCTGAATGAGTATCAGAATGGCATCCGTATCTAGAGCGTATCTGAACTGTATCTAAAAGCTGTCTTTGAATGAGTATCAAGATGGCATTCGTATCTGGAGCGTATCTGAACTGTATCAGGAAGCTGAATCTGAATGAGTATCAGAATGGCATCCGTATCTGGTGCGTATCTGCACTGTATCTGAAAGCTGAATCTGAATGAGTATCAGAATGGCATCCGTATCTGGAGCGTATATGAATTGTATCTGAAAGCTGAATCTGAATGAGTATCAGAATGGCATCTATATCTGGAGCGTATATGCACTATATCAGGAGGCTGAATCTGAATGAGTATCATAATGGCATCCGTATCTGGAGCGTATCTGAACTGTATTTGAAAGTTGAATCTGAATGAGTATCAGAATGGCATCCGTATCCGGTGCGTATATGCACTGTATCTGAAAGCTGAATCTGAATGATTATCAGAATGGCATCCATATCTGGAGCGTATCTGAATTGTATCTGAAAGCTGTCTTTGAATGAGTATCCGGATGGAATCCGTATCTGGAGCGTATCTGAACTGTATCTGAAAGTTGAATCTGAATGAGTATCAGAATGACATCCGTAACTGGAGCGTATCTACACTATATCAGGAGGCTGAACCTGAATGAGTATCAGAATGGCATCTGTATCTAGAGCGTATCTGAACTGTATCTGAAAGCTGAATCTAAATGAGTATCAGAATGGCATCCATATCCGGTGCGTATCTGCATTGTATCTGAAAGCTAAATCTGAACGAGTATCAAAATGGCATCCGTATCTGAAGCGTATCTGCACTGTATCAGGAGGCTGAACCTGACTGAGTATCAGAATGGCATCCGTATATAGAGTGTATCTGAATTGTATCTGAAAGCTGAATCCGAATGAGTATCAGAATGGCATCCGTATCTGGTGCGTATCTGCACTGTATCTGAAAGCTGAATCTGAATGAGTATCAGAATGACATCCGTATCTAGAGCGTATCTGAATTGTATCAGGAGTTGTCTTGTTTGATGATGGTCAAGTAGATAGTTGTCCTGTCTGGTTTCAGGTGCTAATCTACA